TCTCTCTCTCTCTCTCTCTCTCTCTCTCTCTCTCTCTCTCTCTCACGGTTTCTTATACTTCGGCAGGCGCTGTTCTGCACCCTTAGCATGTGTAACACAGCCTAACTATTACTCCAAATTGGAGTAGCCTCTACTCCGATCATACGTATAGTGGTTATGCATAGTGGTCGACACAGTAGCGCCACGCGTAAAAAGCGCCTCTGTTACTCCATTTCAGCGGAGTATCCACTCATAAAGAGGGGCGCTGCTGTCACTCATATTAGAGTATAGCCAGCACGCGGAATCTTTTTCAGTGTATGTACACAACGAAGCTGAGCCCTTCCAATGTGCCGAAATTGTCCCATGACTCGAGCTCGGGCACTCCCCCTCTTTGGCTTCTGAACGTTCAGTGCTACCACTGAATTGTAAAGAGCCTACCGTAAGAGCTTGGTGGTGCCAACAATTGACACGTCGCCGTTCAATGCTATATTGAACGCACACAGTGCAATCTTCTTTCTGTGTAAAGTCGAGCTCAGGACTGTTATACCTCAAAGATGTGGTTGAACTCAAATAAGAACTTCAATCACCAGCTAGGCTGTTGAAGTGCCAAATCGTTTTCCGTATACCCGAAAAGAGACAGAGAAAGTAATACACACGAACGTTTTTGTTAAACTAATGTATGTACCCTGCTATAAAAGACGGATTCAAGTCGATTCAAAATTAATCGGCTTGAATCGACTTGAATAGGTCTAATCGGATCATACTATTTGGTCGATTGAAATGAATCGACTTTAATGGGACTTATGGATATTTTAATTTTCAATCGACTTTAATAGTCAAAAGTGTCATTAAAGTAAATCTACTTGAATCGGAATTTTGGATCTGGGCAAGTCAATCGGCTTCAATAGGCAAAAGTGGCATTGAAGTCAATTGACTTGAATCGGCATTTTCGAGCAATTTTCCTACTTTTATTTCATTGACATGAATAAAAAATTTTCAATGCACTATTTATTTTAATCAGCTTTAGTAGAAATTTTCACTAATTAAAGTCTGTTACCCAATTTTTCCAAATTAAATTTTTAGTGACTTTGTATATTTTATTATTAGATTATTCATTGTGTTTGTATTTCGATTAAGTTAAATAACGTTTGTTATGTTACGTCCGAACTTCTAAGTGAAGGGCGGAACTCGTAGATTCGTTCTACAAACAAATAAATTTAGTTTTTATTTGGCAGGAACCAGCCGTCGACCCAAAGGCCTTATTTGCTCTTACAGTATGATTTTCTTTTAAATCGTTGACTCGGCGTTGTGGTGTTAGGTTTCAACGATTGGTATGTGTAGAGAAGTGTTGGTATATCGTATGCCGAGCTGGCGTTGACCTACTGTTTGAATTTATCTGATGTAATATGGTCGTAGCGTATTTTATCTGTCTCTTTATCTTACGTCCTTGTAAGGTCTTTATCATCCGTTATGTATTTAATTTTTCCTTGGTATATAATTTATTCATCAAAGTAAAATTTATATTTCTATGAATCAAAATTTTAATTCTTAGAATATNAGGTCTTTATTATCCGTTAGGTATTTAATTTTTCCTTGGTACATAATTTATTTATCGAGGTAAAATTTATATTTTTATCAATTCAAATTTTGATTCTTAGAGTACTTACAGTGATTTAGTAATTGGAATATTTTAATTAAGAAAATAATTATAATCAACAACCAAGTTATGTCTTATCTGATGTCATAATTCAGTGATGCCGAAAATAATTAATTTTACAAATAATATAAATTATGAAGGTTCAGATTCGCGTTTACAATATTTTAACAAGTTTTTATTTTTCTTAACTTAACTTACTTCTGTGGTCGTTGGTTAACCGCTGCTTGCGCGCACGCAGTCGCAAGATCTTACAAAGTTGACCGCAACGATGATCTTAATCCTACACGAGAGTACTCGTGGCAATGGAAATAATTAGGCTGCTGCTTTTAACGTCGAAACCCAAGTCGACGGTCCTTTTTTTCTTGTTCCTCCTTGATTCACTCTTTAGGCGAGTTTACAGTGGCTTGGTTTGCTCGAGCTTTTCTCACACAGCTTAGTCACCGAACTAAGTCTTACATTTGCTTGAAATGTACGCTTTTAATACGTATTTTAATCACTGAACTAAGTCTTACATCCGCTTAAAAGACGCAACAGAGCTCACTCTCCAACCTTTATAGTTACTTTGGAGCACTTGATGAAAGAGAAAAGGCGATTATTGGTATGTGCAAGGAGTTTTTATACTCTTGCAATTAAAGAGGACACGTCAAGTTGGGGATCCGAACGACCAATCAGAGCTTAACCCAATTACTCTCAATTTACACAATCATAAACGTGGTGCAACAACTATACCGCGAACAATGGTAAAAATCGCTGATCTCTCGGTTGTTGCATTTGGTACAGTTGATGTTGAAACTGTTCACGACATTCGCTGTGGATTATTCTCAGTAATAAATGTTGAAACTGCTGATTGTTTTCATTCTTGCGGACATTTAGTGCAAATTAATTGTTGTAAGATGAGCGCTATGTAAGATTATTTGGAAATTGTACGCGTAGTTAGAGTTTTGCGATGGCAGCTCTTTTCAAAGGAAGTAAGTTATATGTCACGAGATTGCAAAAGCAGCTATATAGCTCAATGTTTAGCAATCGCTGAGCATTCGCTTTTTATAAGTTTTTAACGGAGCTGTGTATTTCAAAGTAATGAATATTAAGTATATGACATGGGATGTCACAGTTAACTTAAATATAATTTACTAGCGAGTTTTATTCTAGTTCGTCAGAAAATAAAAAAAAAAAACAGAAAAAATAAAATCAATAACATAGATTATTACCTTAAAATTATTCAAAGTCACATATAAAGTCGATTAACATAGACTGAAAAATTTTCTATTAAAGCTAATTGAATTGCTCCCGTCCAAAATGTCGATTCAAGTCGATTGATTTCAATGCCACTTTAACCTATTGAAGCCGATTGACTTGCCCAGATCCAAAATGTCGATTTAAGTCGATTGACTTCAATGCTACTTTTGACTATTAAAGTCGATTCATTTACAAACCACATAGTGGTACATATTGAAAAAAAATTTTTTTTTTTATAAAATATAAATGAAAATTGAATTAAATACGTTTCTGATTAATAGAAATCAACTTAAATTCCATGAATATCAATTGAAATTTAAGTACAGTATATGTACGATAAAATTACATTATTTGTCAAAGTCTCTTTTAGCTCAGTCGACTTAGTGTTAGCCTCCCGACCCAAAGGATCCGGGTTCTAATCCCCGCCACTGTAACATTTAGACTTGTATAGTAAATTCATAATAACAAATTCCGGATTTTAAACAATTTATATATATGAGTCCAAAATAGTGGTACAATCATTCGGAGATAAAAAAAATTTTTTTTCAATATTTTTTTTATCATTCACTCTAATTGGGTTGAATCGACTTGAATCGACACATTCCAATCGACTTGAATCGGCGTTCATATAAGCGATCGGTTCCAATGGGATTTTGTGGTATTAAGATTCACTATTGGAACGGATTGGAATTTTTTGAATCGACTTGAAACGACCTTTTATAGCAGGGTACCTATGTGAAGGTAGGTAGTATAGAATTATGTTAATAAACAAAAAAAAATATAAACAGAATTTGCTTTTTTCTAATCTGTAATATTCACTGATAAAAATACATATTCATAAATAAACTGTTTTTTTAAATATAAAAATATGAAATTAACATCATTTAGAGTCAAAAAAATAAATACTTTTCCTGCCTCCCGCGTTTTTGAGAGACTGGTGTGCGCTCGGTAGAAAAAATAATAGGATTCGCCACATAAGCGCCATTGCTCCGTGGCTGCCTCTCGTTCCTTGGGTCTTGTTTCGCAGGTTCCTCGGGCCGCAAAATAGCCTTGGAGACAATGGCACTTATCCGACAAAAACAACTATTTTCATCATAGATCATCAAATGCTTCCGAGTTTAATAACATGTTCTTTAATGTTTCAAATCTGTCGTGGGTCCCAAGACCCACACCTGGTTTTTTTTATAAATGTTCAATCGATAATCAGTAACACGTTTTTTCATACATAAATGCAGGTAAGCAAACGGTCAGATAAACGGTGTATTTAAGCCAGAAAGCAGTAAGACAAACAGTGGAGTAAGATAGGTACTATTAATCAAGCATGCTTGTAAGTATGAACGAGAGCATCCAAAAAGTCGTTACCTACCTGTTCTTCAAATCTATTGATGAGTGATGTGGCCCAGTCACGAGCCTTATGCGATTCCGCCGCGGCTCTTGCTGTCTGCTGCACACTCATTCTGCCACCACCCCTGGCACCAACTGAACTTTTCAAAGGGTTGCAAACTTATACACACTAATAAGCTACCTCCTGTTACAGTACTCTTGCGCTCATGGACTCTTCTATCATTTTAAACCCTGTTTCCTTGTTGCCAATGGAGTTGAAGTCAAAGTTGATCTTATACTTATGATGCGTCATGGTATTCTCTGTATGAAACCATCATTGCCCAAGTCGTAGGTGCCTGCCCTACCTTTGTGGAGGATAGGGGGTACAATATTTTTGTTATAAATTATGTACTCAATTGTATACTTATGAGAGACATGATATTAGATTGAAAATATCAGATAGTAGATGATGTTGCAAAAAATAGAGGCATACTGTCTTCAAGGATAAATTTGTTTCATGTACATGGTCAGCAGATGTAAAGAATAAAAGAGAAATTATCACTTAACTTTTTTTTCATAAAGGAACGGTAGATTTAACGCGACTATAGGTCTACAGACTTGTCTAGTGGCACTCCCATGATTATGCTCATTATATCGAATTTGACTTTGTTTTATGAATAAGACTTCAAATTTCAATTTAATTTATGATTGACTCTTTAAGAGCCCAACAAATTTAAGAATTAGGAAAATTGTTCTTGTGAAAAGATCTATACATAGAATCAGATGTTTTTTTTAATACAAAATAGTAACTTGGCATATAGGAATTGTACTCTTAAGTTTATGAAGTCAGTCTAAACTATGTCCTGATACATCTGTGGATTTTTAATAGGAGATGTAAATAGTCAATTGGTTTAAATTTCATATAGGAATATTACAATACCATATTTTAGAACACTGTTTGTATTTACTACCATTTCTTTAAAGATCTTGGAACATAACATTCCTACTTTCATGATCAGATTATTTAAATGTATCATCATAGATAGATACACACTTTTTAATTACCACAGTAGCACACACTTTTTAACATGGATGCTCTGATCCTTGCCATTTTAAGTATTGCCAACTTGCAAATAGAGTTTCCAACAGACTGTACTGACAGTTACAATAATAATCAAAGATAACCCTTAAATTCTTATTAATACTTCATTTCATCGTCCCAAGTTTGCAAATGCAACTGAAAGACACAAAATAAGAAATAACGATGTACTTACATAACTGTTGTGTTTAAAAAATCCAAAATTACGCGACAGCCGAAAAGGCGACAGTCCGCCGCTCCCGCACACATACATTTGCAAATAGTGTGTATATTTATATATACATATGCGAGTGCGATTTTTACATTCGAATCACGAGCCCCGCTGCACACAAGCTTTCTATGCTCTCGATGCATCTTAGGCGCGCCTCTCTTTTTTCGGCACTTTTTGTTTGTACTGCCAAAGTTGCCTCTGGTTGAACATCATGGGTGTACTTTCATATATTTATTCACGTATATTTTTTCAATTTTTAAATTTAACTACGTAACTATAAAACACTGCATAAACAAAATCTTTTCCATCAAAAACAAAATACAGCATTTTTTTAAACGCACACTCGTGTCATCGACAGATAAATATATTCACAAGCTTCTGATTAAAAAACGATGATCCCACAGTGCATATTGAGATACAGTCAAAGTCGCAATAAAAATCGGCAAAAACAACCAAATGTATATATATACATGTATGATGGAAGCCAGAGCATCGATTATTTACGAGAAAGGAGAGGACAGTTACAAGAGAGCAAGTGCCGTGTAAACGTACAGCAAGAGAGTCGCAAAAGGTGCGAGCTTCTAGATTCTGGAAATCCTTGGAGACCCCACTGCTGCGTCTCTGTATACCTGCTTATATTGGCGCGCACACCATGGATCCTCGCCAATACCAATTAGCGCGTCTTTTCCAAAGCCACTCGGACAAACTCTATCTCGTGCACACCACGCGGGATATCCTTTCAAATATATATATATATCTTTTTTTTCTTTTCTCTCCGCACATCGCGCAAGTGTACACCCTTTGTTTCCCCACCGTGAGAAGCAAACACACGTCACACGGTTTCTATATTGCGAAACGAGTACTCGCGGGAAAAAAAAAAACAAAAAAAAAAAAAAATT